CACACACACACACACACACACACCCTGATGTGTGTGTCTCTTCCTGCAGGAGTGTATCCAGCTCTGTCACTCTGACCTCACTGCTGAGACGCCCATCATCCCGGGCCGGGCCCACCTCCAACCTCCCTCTCTGTCAGACTCCTCCCCCTTCGTCCTGCCGCCCTCCTCCTCCAAACGCTCCTACTCCATGGAGCACTTCCGCTGGGGGAAGCCCGTCGGCCGCAAGCGCCGCCCAATCAAAGTGTACACCTCCAACGCCGTGGAGGAGGAGTCTGCTGAGGTTTTCCCCGGTGAGATGAGGAGGCGGGAGTTAGCCAATGAGCTGTTAGCAGCAGCGGAGGAAGAGGAGGAGAAGGCGCAGGAAATGATGGAGGAGGCGGGGGAGGAGGAGGAGGAGCAGCTCCTGGGTGGGGTCCACGATAAAAAAGATGGTTCCTACAAGATGAAGCATTTTCGCTGGAGTGGCCCACCCGCCGCCAAACGCTACGGCGGCTTCATGAAGAGCTGGGACGAACGCAGCCAGAGGCCGCTACTCACGCTCTTCAAGAACGTCATCAACAAAGATGGACAGCAGCAGAAGTGAAGGGGCGGGACGGGGGAGGAGACAGAGAACTTTTTACACATCTTCGACAAGCGGCGAGGAGCTCTGATTGGCCGAAGAAGCTCGTTAGTGACGGAGAAAAAGAAACTGCTGATCCTGAATGACAGAAAAAGAGAGAGAGAGAGAGAGAGAGAGAGAACGGAGTTTTGATATTTATTGATTCATGTAAATTTCTGTACATTTGATGAAATCATAAAAGTTATGAAGCAACAGAAGAGACGTCTCCCGTGTTTCCTGTTTCACATTAAAACTAAAATCAGATTTTAGTTCCAGTCGTCGGCTCCTCAGCGTTAGCACTGAGACGCTAAAAACACATGCTAACACTTTTATCTGCAGCTAATTGAGTTAAAGCTCCAGTGAGTCAGATTCAGGTGAAAGGATCTACTGTCAGAAATGTAATGTAGAAGAATCCTCATGATGTTTTCACGAGTTTGTTTCATCTAAATATGAACTGTAGTTTTCTATACCCCAGAAAAG